TGTTCAACAGAGGGATTTTGGAGAAAAGAGAAAAGCAAAGTTTGGGAGAGATACATTGAGAAAAAAAGGATGAAAACTTTTCAGCCATTTACTACTGTGTATCCTATTGTCTACCCTAATCTGTTTAATTTCTCTGGTTTGGGTCTTACTATTCATTTGGATAAACGGTTTATGTGACTGTCTTTTGTTTGATAAATGTTTGGTGAGAGGCAACTAAGCTGGCTGAAAGTAAGTTAACTATTACCATCCAGGTCTGGAGCAAGACTATTTCCCATCAAAAGTAACAGGGAAAGTAGCTTTTATTTTGAACTTCCAAAAGAGCACAGTATCCTATACACTGCAAACATCTGATGTGCGAAGTAGATAAGACTGAGTTCTAGACTGTTAGGGGAGATAGGGGAGCGAAGAAGTGATCAGCCAGTGACAGCCACCCCTCTCCTCTTCACAAATTGCAGTCTTCTTTGAAGACCGGGAATGAAGCTTTCCCAGGTCTCGGATTTTATCTAAACAGAGCTCCACAGTAAAGGCTTCCCCAAGGAACTGTGGCTCAATCTATGTTACATTCAATTACTTGGTGATCTTATCAGTTTATATGGGTTCTATTGTCATCATTCTGCAAATGATACTCAAATCTCCACATCTGTTTTAGGCTCTCTCTGGAGCTCTAGTGATACACTATAAACTATTATACATCTCAAACCATACATTCCATAGGCATCTCAATCTCAACATGTTCAAAACCGACTTCGTTATCTTTCCTCTAAAACCCACTCCTATTCCGAACTTCCCTGTTCGTGTTGAGGGTGCCACTATCCTTCCAGGTACCAGGTTCACAAGCTTTGTGAACTCCCTGTGTATATCCAATCATTTGCCAAATCTTGTTATCTCCTTCTTTAAAAAACTTCCTCAATATGTTCCCTTCTTTATATTCAAATGGCCACCACCCATGTACAGGCCTTCATTATCTCTCACTCAGATTATTGCAATAGACTTCAGTTGGTCTACCTTCCTCAAGTCTCTTCCCATTACAATTCTTCTTTCACACAGCTGCCAAAATGATTTTCCTAAAGTGTTAAGTCTAACCATATCACTTCCCCACTAAATAAATATTAAAAGCTCCCTGTCACCTCAAGGATCAAATTAAAATTTATCTGTTTGGCATTTTAAAGCTCATTACAACCTCTTCCCTTGCTACTTCTCCAGTATACTTACACAGTACTCCCCTCCACACACTCTATGATCAGTCCTACTGGTCAGCTTATTCCTCAAACACAAATCACCATCTCCTTAGGCTGTGCCTTTTCACTGTCTGTCATCTAGAATAATCTGCCTACTACTCACTCCCACGCTGCTAGTTCATTGGCCTCTAAGGCAGCTTCCATATACTCTGTACGTCTCTTCTACGAACCCATTTTTGTACATGTTATCTCTCCTCCATTAGAATATAAGCTCTCTGAAGGAACAAGCTGTTTTTGCTTTTATTTAGATCCCCAGTGCTTAGTACAGTACCTGGCACACAAGGAATCCTTAATAAATGCATGTTGACTGCCCAATGATGGATTTACTGCCATTATCATTCCTGTAGGGGAAGGGTACATCCAAAGGCTACAAGTGTTAGTTTTATCTTGATCTCACTCCAGAATTTTGTTTGCAAAGATAAAGTGAAGAAAGGAATTGGATCATTATCTGCTGAGTTCAATGTTGCGGTACATCTGGATGAAAAAAGTCAGGCTTCTGTCTTTTAGATCTTTTAACAGCAAAGTATTTACTTGAATTATCTGAACTGTCACAACTTTACTATGCCTGAGCTGATCCAACCTAAATCACCACCACATTTCTTAGCTATGGTTAATTAAAGAATTCCTTGAGAATGCCTTAACAAGAGAAACGAATACATTTGAGCATACCCATGCATTCACCTTGGAAGGACTTCATCATCAAGGGGAACAACAGCATACTGAATACCTTCCTCAGTTGCTGTAGGAAGGTTGTTTGATGTGGCAGGAAGGAAACTGAACAAGGAATTCTGTTCCTAACTGCTACAAACTGTGGGATCCCGAGCAAATTTGCTTTACCTCTTTGGGCCTTAGTCTCTCCATTTGTAGAACAAGAGCATTGAAATACATGACCTTTAATGTCCTCTCCAACTCTAAGATTCTCTGATTCAATGTATGATTTGGTGAAACAGTCTGGTCTAATTCACCTACTATGTGACTTGTAAAGGTGATGCTAAGCACTAGTTATAAGAACAAAGTTACTTACTTTGAAAATTTCCTACTGCAGTTTTCTCCCATTTTACAAAACTATTCCATTCAAATTGACTCTATCACATGACTACAGAAGATGGAATTTTTGAGCTCTATAGCAGTTAAGTGAAGAGGTGTTCCACATTTTGTATAATAAATGTTCTGGTAAATATAGATGTAAATTTTTGTAAAGTATATCCTATTTTCCTATTGATTTTCTTTACAAATCTGGAAATTCACATCCATAGGAGGAAAAATTATAAACTGGTTTGAAAGTTTTTGGTAAGAAAGGAACTAAAAGGAGCCTAGCTTCATGACAGTGTAAGAGACCAAGGGGGTAGTGCTGCAGGCTGGACACTGGCACCTCCACTCAGCAGTTTTCTTTTCCAGGCCTTTTTACACCTCCCCTGGTCTAGGGCCTCTATCATTATGTAACTTCTCTTGCACTTTCCTGCCCTCTCCACTCTTACACCTCCAGGCCATAAGAATTTTCCCCATGCTTGGGGATGCCCTGACAGCTTCCAGAATCTTGATCTCTTCCCCTACTATTTTTCTGAATTTTTACAATGTTCAACAGAAGTGGCCTATGATAACATATTTTGGCTGAGGTGGTAGATTGTCTAACATGAATACACTGTCCTTAAAAATTCCTTACATTTGGTGTTTTACATCAACTAAAACAAATTAGTTTCCTTCTTAGATGGACCTGGAAGTTGCTATCATGCAATGAACTACTTCTAAGACATCACTCAACTACTGTATATTATATCACATTAGGTAAAAATCTTTGTGAAATCTTCATAACTACACATGGAATTAACTGCAATTACATGGATAAAATAACAGCCCTTTAAAATGTTTTCATTTTTTTCTCTTTAGAATACCTAAAAGACACTTGTTCACACTGAGTAAACACATGTAGAATAGCAGTTAGAATACTAAAAAATAATCTTGAGTGAATGCAATCTATTAAAGAAGTAAAAAAAAAATAGTGCACTGAATTGAGATTTGGGAGATTTGGGGTTTTGTTCTGGTCCTGGCTTGTGCAGTAACTAGTTCTGTGACCTAGGCCATGTAGCCTAAAAGCTCTCTGGGTCTTTGTTTCCTTGTTTGTAAAATGAGGTGGTTGGACAAGATCATGTCTAAGGCTCCCTGCAGCCATAAAACTCTATTGCTTAAAATTTTTAGCATTAAAAATAACTTCCTCAATTTAATAACTAGTATTTTTCATATTTTAACCAAAAAAACAAAGTCTTTATTTATTTAATATTATCTGCTTAAAGTTCAGGGAGGAGTGGCTGAGTTAGAGCAATTAATCCCTACTGAAAGTTGTAATGTTAGGTTACTATAACTATGGTGGTAGAACTGGTCTTTATTCTTTCCTGATCAACAAAGAGATAGGACTCAGTCTAAATGGTTCAGAAAAAAGCTTTCCCTGGCCACTTTTGATGGGAAGTAGTCCTGCCCCAGTCTATCTCTTATTTCCAAAATTAATTGTATTTTGGCTTCATTAAAGCAATGGAATGTATGTTGACTCTGAGTGAAAACTGCCCTGTTCTCTGATTTTTTTGATGTATTGATAAGATTTTGGTGATTTTTAAAAATCTTTTAAAGAAAATTCTTTGTTACAAGGGACAAGTCTTTGGGATTGGGATGGGAAGGGGAGTGGAAGGGAATGAAAAAAGTGTCATAGAAAGAGCATTGGATTTGGAGTTGGAGAACCTACATTTGCAACTCTCTGTATCACTGTAGGTAAGTCACATAACCTCACTGGGCCTCAGTTTCCTCATCTGTAAAGTTAAACTGGACTACATGATTTCTAAAGTCTCCTCTAGGTCTAAATTATGCAATTACACAGAAAATAAAGAGGAATGGCTTGGAAATCTAGGGGATATAAAAACAAAAGCTATCTTTAAAAATCTATTTTAAAAAGGAAATTGCATAAGAGAAGCTTTGAGAGATTAAAAAGTGTTTTTGATTGGGACTTAAATGAAAGACACACTATTTATGAATTTGCCAGAACATCCCTCTATTCACAGATGAAAATGCAGACCTAACTCAACAACTTTCCTGCTTTGTCTCCAATGCTGGTTTCTAGAGAAATCTGGCTGATGCTACAGAGGTTGCTTTGACTAGTAGGAGAAGCCAAAGGGATTCTTTAAACCCTCATTGAAGTTCATTTTCTTTTTGGATATGTTAAATTCCTACTTCCTTGAACAGAGAACTCTTCAGGTTTCAAAGATACTTAATGAAGAGTAAATGGTCTAGCAAATTACATGAAAGAAAAAGATCTTTTTCCCCAACAAAGGAAGACGAAAGGCCTTTATTACTTTCTTCACTTGGCTATAAATTATACCCTGCAGATGCTTTCTCTTGATGCTCTGGGTGAGGCATAAAACTCCACATCCAGGGTCAAGAGCTTTTAACCCCAATGAAGGGTCATGGAGATGAAAAGTCAGCAACTTGACAACATCTGACACTGTGGCTAGGTCTCCACAGTCAAAGCAAATCTGTAGAAAATGCGGGTAGTAGAGGCAGCTAAGGTATATAATTCAGTTCTCCTAAATCCACTAACATTTACCATAGTCCTGCAACCTTGTCCTGGACTCTTACATTTGTCTTCTGTATATAAACACTGCACCTTACATAGAATACTGTCTTGGAGTCAGTCACTTGGAGAGCTCTTGACTTAACCAGAGCCACTGTTTTCACTGCCATTGGCGTTATAATCCTACGAATCTCGGAACAACTCACGTGGAGCTGGTTTGCTGGTGCCACCCACATTTTTCTCGGGTTTCTTTGATGAACATGTGGTAACTTTCTGTTTCTGCTTGACTGGTGTTTGGTCTATGGCTGGAAGCTTTGATTCAGATTTTGTTACAGAAGCCTTGATTGTTGCCCTTTGCTCGGGTCCCAAATCCTCAGCTGAGTTCTAGAAAAGTGAAAGATACGTATCACTGATATAACATGCCCCTCTTACTAGATATAGCCAAAGAAGTGATAAATCAAGCAAATGTTCTAGTGACAACACAGGAGCACATTTCCATATTAAGAAAATTAATTATGTAATTTAAAGTTTTGTTCACTAGGCTGTGAGTCAAAAATAACAGAAATTTTGGAAAGTACGTTTTATAAAATTATAGGGGGAAAAAAATCCAATCTGTGAAAGAGGCAACACAGTGTAGAGGAATGAACATTGGATTTGGAGTTGGAGAACCTGGCTCTTTAGCTCTCTGTATATCTGCAGACAAGTCATGTAACTTCTCTGGGCCTCAGTTTCCTCATCTGTAAAATTAAACTATATGATTTCTAATGTTCCTTCTAGGTCTAAATTCTATAATTATTCAGAAAATAAAGAAGTAAGTATGAAAGCAAGAGTAGTGGGCAACTGGTACTTTTAAATGAATAATTGTGAAATGGCTAGATCTCATGCAGAAAAATCCATTTTTAAAATTCAACGAGTATTTGTTGATAAAACATTGTATGCACAACTCTATACTAGGAACCTTGGAGAACACAAAGGGAAAAAAGAGATGATTCCTGCAGCGAACTCTTTCTTCCTGGAATTCCAACTGTGTTATTTAGTTATCACCTTTGGAACATACACTTAATCAATGTTAGAATTGTTTCTAGTTATAGAACTATAACTGTTTCTAGGATTTTGAGCTATTTTAACTATTACTCTTACAACTTTAATTGGGGAAAAATTTCCTTTATCTTAATAATCTATACAGCAATTTAGGTGGTGGAGATGGTAAGAAAAATATTGAAAATTCTAAACCATAGTTTCTATGGTAACAGAATTTCCTAACATAGTCTTGTAGATCCATTCAAAAATCTGCAAGGATATTCCATTTTGGGAATTTCCACACTTACCAATATCAGGGAAGTGATAAATCGGATGTAAATGACAGTCAGAAACTTTTTTAATGTATTGCAATATAGAACTATTAGCATCTTTACTTACGTGCAATATGGCTTATTTTAGGCATAGCCCAACTGTTTAAGAACCTGGGCTTGTGAGATAAAATAACACAATTTACCAGACTACTTTAACACTAGAGTGGGAACAAGGATGGGGCAAGCAAGATTTGTATCCGGGCATTCAAATTTAGAATGACACTGCTTTCTCTCCCAGCGGATAATCACAGATGATTTGGCTACAGCCATTACATGTAGAACATCAAAAGCATTATCCTTCTATTTTCCAAGCTACTTCTCTTGTGAGTGGTCTTCCTTCTGCTTCTCCCTAACCTCTGCTTTGAATAACCTAAAGACTATTTTCTCTACTGTTCTGTTCTAACAACACATTTGAAAAACATTTCTATTGAGGCAAACAGGCAATTTCGTTACTATTATATTAAAATTTAATATACATGTTTTTTAAAACAATAAATGGTACATAGCAGAATTTCACAATTTCATATTTAATCCTCTATTCTTGATATACTGAAATGTTCATATTTAGCAAATTATTGATAAGTTAATAATAATTTAAAATATTTCCATTTATATACAAATCTCACAGAAAAGCTTTTTGGAGGTAAAACCTCAGCAACTTAAGTTATACAGAGACTCATTTACACATTGAAAGAACGAAAATTGAGTGCATACTATATGCCAAGTACTGAGCTAAGTGCTGGGGATACAAATAGAAAGGATAGCAGTCTCTGCTGTCAGGGAGCTCACATTTTAATTGAGGGAGATAAGACAAAAAGATGATTCAGCTGCAGGGTAGAAATGCCTGGTGGTCCTTAGGGTTCAGTAGTACAAAGGTAGCTTGAAGCTGGTGGGAGTTGAGACGGTAAGTCACTTAGTTTGTGCTCTGCATTCTCAATCCCCTCAGTTCCCCCTCAGTATTTCAGATTCTTTCAACCTGCTCCCTCATGTTGTTATGGAAACATTCCCTGTCCCCCCCCCCGCACACCCCCCTTCAGCCCCTTTCCAAGGGCATCTAGTCTAATCTCTCTCATTTTACATACGAGGAAACTGAGACCCAGAGACATTAAGTGTCTTGCTTAATGTCACACAGGTATTAAGTGGCAAAGCTGGGATTTGAACCCAGGTCTTCTGACTCCTTTTTCCCCTGTACCAAGTTGCCTCTAAATGATATACTTGTGTTTCACTCACATCAGCTTGTGGGATTCAAATCTCTTCTATTTTGAGAATTATTCTGAAGTGTCAATGATTCAAGTTTCAGAACACAAGATGTTGACACTTGACACACTTGACAAAAAACCAAAAAACGAAGGAGGACAGCTAGGTGGCGCACTGGATAGAGCACTGGCTCTGGAGTCCAGAGGACCTGAGTTCAAATCCAGCCTCAGACACATGACACTAGCTGAGTGACCCTGGGCAAATCACTTAACCCTAGCCTCACAAAACAAATAAAGGAAAATATACATGTAAAGTTTTGTGTCATGCTTAAGAGTAAAATTGGATTATGTTTTATCTTGATCCTAGATGTTTACAGAATTTTAAAGCTGGAAGGAACCTGGGGAATTATCTAGTTCAAACCCCTTTATTTTACAGATGAAAAGACCAGATCTCAGGGAAAAAAACTGACTTGACTAAGTTCACACAAGCAGTAAGTACACAGAAGATGTGGGACTACAATACAGTTTTGACTCAAGAATCAAGAGCTCTTCCATTACAATATTTTTTTGTCAGAGATACAATGTCAGATTAATGATAATAATTCCTACTTATTTATGGCACTTGACAAAATACTGCCCAAACAAACCTGTGAGGTAAGCATAAATATTACTATTGCCTCTTTTTAGATGAGCTTTGCAAAAAAAGGCACAGGGAGATGAAGCCACATAGCTATTAAGTGGAGGATCGATGCTTCAAACCTAGGTCTCCTACTCTATAGACAGGCTTCTTTCTACTACTCCATGCTTCTGCAAGTGGGTATAGGATTTGCTTCCTTCCACAACTGCCCCTAAATTGTCCAGTGAAATCATAATCAAAATAGCAGAAAAGATTCAGATCCTGTGAAAGGGTGGAAAATTTGGAAAATCTGCAATTCTAATTTTCCCCTATACCATATAAGTAGCATGAGGGAGTTTTAGGACAATTAAATTGTGGAAGTTGTGGATGCTAACATATCCTTATACTAGTTTTGGGGATTATCCTCAGGTAATGGTTCCTGATATTGAGATTCTGTAAGAATTGACTAGATATGTGTAATTTTTTTTATTTGCTTCTACAAGTCAGCATAAGAAAACCATAATCTTCAAAAATATGTTACTAGATTCCTCTTTCTCTTTGACCTGCTGAGTGTTCTTAGTATAATCATTTAAACTTTCTGTGTTTTCATTTAAATTCTGCCTATACTCTGCCTCCAATGCTGTCTGACCAAAATCCAGTTTTAATTCTCCTCTGGCCTTTAAGAATCACCAAGAAATGTCTAGTGGGAGAAACAATATTGTAATCTGCTTAATTATTTTTTTAGGGGAAAGGTGAGTATTTTTTGTACTAATTTACACACACACACACACACACACACACACACACACACACACACACACACACACACATATATATATATATATATAAAGAGCCCAGTCCTTAAAAGTATGCTTGGATCTGCCCTTCCTGGTGGGTTACAGAAAGCCATGTGCAATATGTCCTGCCTGTTTCCAATCCTGTATGTAGAGGCTTAGCCACGAGCAATGGAGGGGCTAGTATTTGGTGACAAAGAGTCTTCTGATTGGTTAAGGAGCTGAGAATAATGACTGGGTAGAAACTGACTGGGTATGAAAAAGGTTCAAGTGGATGACCACATGATTTCTTCCTTGGTGGCTCTGAGCCACCAAAAAGGGGATGGATGAGCAGGCCTCCTTATTTCCCATCTAGTCACCACATATGCTTGAGTGCATGGTGCCTCTGTTTTGTTGTGTTTTTTTCTTTTCAATCTTTGGTGAATGAATATCCAGAGATGGAATGGACCAGATTATAACCTTGTGAATTTTGCACAAGGAGATACCAGAAGTCTCCTCAAAAACCAAAGTCAAGTGCAGAGACCACTGAAGCTGAGTCTGGTAAGAAGTCATCCCTGAGGAGTGACTTGCTTGACTCAATTCTGAAGAGTAATTTGCTTGACTCACCTAAACAATGGAGATATAAAAACAAAAGTGAAGGAGAGGGAGGAAGAGAAGAAGGAGAGAGAGGAAAAGGGAAGGGAGGAGACAGAAAGAGAAGGGAGGTATGGAGGGATCATTGGGAAAAGAAAGAACTGAGCATTCCAGGATGGAATTGGGAGTAAAGGAATTTCAACGAAGATGCCAGATGGTAGACTGTCTGAGAATGAGGTTCAAATGAGGCCAGATGAGAGATAAGGAGTAAAGGAGAAATGGCTAAATGCTAGAAGAATTTGTATTTCATTGGCAGGGACTAATTGCCCAGCACTTGTTCTGCATGCAGCCATATAAACTCCATCCCCAGAATCTCTATTGTGAATAACATTGTCAGAGTAGCCATATTTTCTTTTGTACAAAGCAAAGAGAGTAGGTATTCCTACTCCAACCAGCTTGGAGGGATACATTTGTATTTCTGTCCTTAATATATGTTTTCAGTAAATAACCTCTTGTAAAAGTTAATTGATGTCAACTAGTAGATTGATATTGGGGGAGAACATCAATGGGAGCTTCTAAAATACAGTATTAGAAACCCTAGCAACCCCTCAGGATTATCAGATGATAGAACCCTGAGGAAAGTATTCAGTTACCCTACAGACTCAACCTGACAATATGAGTGGGGGTTGAGAGAGTGAGCCCCAGAGGGTACTGCATATAATTTCTATTCACCCCTTACATTTTTCACAAGTTGTAATATCACATGGTGTGGGAGTAAGGTTTATTTGGTTTCATTACATTAGTGTTCCTTTGAGTGAGTAAACCAATACCGTCTTTCAAAATCCAAGCCTGA